GCTCTAGACAGCATCAGCAAAGACTCAGTGCACCTTGGAGCATACAGTGGCACACACTGAATTTCAAACTGGTGGATCGAAACCGCAGTTTGTGTAGCCCTGCAGGTATTGGCACCTGATCAATGGTTTGGGCTTGGGCGACATGCTCCGACCACGCAAAAGAACACGCAGGCAAGCGCTGTACATCTTTTGAATGAGTTTATATACCACCCCTGAGTTGAGCAGGCAACCTACAGACTTCAGCTTGGGGTCCTTTGACATGGTTTCCCGTGATGACCGCAAGGCTGTGGCTAGCAGTGATCCAGTTTCCCAAGATGTTTTGCTGAATGATTTGAAAAAAATCATAGACTCCACAAGATGTCACCTGGAGTGGCGTGCATGGATGCGACTGGGTGCTGACAGCTCCACGTTGTTTGAAGCTGTTTGGAGCTTAAATGCTTTCCACCAATTGACAGCGCAGAAACTCAGCCCAGTTTCAACAGGCAATGCTTTACTGATTGTTTCTGTCTTGTCTGCGTTTCATAAGCAGCTGCAGCACTGGCACTGTTTCCACAGGGGCCCCAAACATGTAAAGTGATTTGTGAATTTAGTCTAGCTTCGCCAGAAATTCAGGAAGCGAACCGTGCTACTGGTCACTTTGGTGTCTATGTCAGCAATGCTGATGGTGCACAGACATGACGCTGAAGATGTCTCAGAGAAATTGGTCAGCTACGCTGAGATCAAGCGCTCAGAGTTGAAAGCCATGGAGGCACACGTGGTCGAGCTTTTGCAGGGGAGGTTGTTGCCATCCACCCTGCGTGCTCTCATGGGCCAGCCTAAGGCTGTGTATGAGATGAACCTGTGTGTATAGAATTGGGAAGCTTTGCCTGTTGGGCTGATTGAGTTGGCCTGCTGGGTGCATGTAGTACTTCACTTCAAGTTATGTGAGGCCCAGCGCTTGTTACAGATCATTGATCTGTAATGCTTGCAAGCCCTGTTTGGTTGATCTGGTCCTGATCTGGCTTTGATCACTGATTTCACAATGCTTTGATCTGGTGTTTGCATGCCTGTCATAGTCTTTCACGCAGCTGTTAAAAAAACACTTATAATGCAGCATCTAAACACGCACTGCAGGTTGGACAGCGCTTTTCATTCTGAATTCTGTTTCAGCCTCAGGTGCTCCGTTCTTGTTTGTCGCCTTTGACAGCGTATGCGCTCAGATTCAGGACTGTCCCTGATTCATTGCAACCAACATTAGCCATTTAGGTGGTGCGTTATGCTGGGAGCAACGCTGTCTTAGAGCTATTGCGATGGCTTCGCAGTTTGGTTCAACAGTGGATCCTGCACTGGCAGGAAGACTAAAGCAGGAAGGGGGTGTGGAGTTCCAATGTTCTGTTTCAGGTCTGGAATGAATAGGACTGGGTTTACCTGTCCCTTCATGAGAGTGTTCAGGTTGTGGTGCAAGGGAGACCAAGGTCTCATGCTTTCACATCACTGCCCATGCCCACTATATTTATATATATATGTGTGTGTGTGTTTAAACAGTCAGATGTCTACCCCAAAAGCATGCTGGTCATTGAGCGATTGCAAATCTTTAGTGCTGTGAGCATTCTTGTTAAAGATCCCCTGTTGACATGCTGTTTGCGAAGCTGTTGTGGTGGCCCCTGTTTTCGACCAACAGAATCCTGGGCAGGTTGGACCATCTTAAGGGTGGGAGTGGCAGTTGGCGCATGGAAGTATGGTATTTATATATTTGTTCTAACTTAGGTCTGGCTCAGATGAAGATTTCGCGGGCATTGTTGCATGCCCACTTCACTTCAAGGACATGCGTCCCACAGTCTGGTTCAGCCGGGTTTGCGCAGGTTTTGTTCTCATGATTGCAGTATATATAGGGTACAGGGGCTGCCTCAATGTAGGGCAGCAAGTCGCCCAGAAACCTCCAGCAGACACAAACAAAGTTCGCGAAATTCAAGATGATTGTCTTTGGTGCTGGCCATGTTTCTCGCAATCCTGGAGAAGGAAGACGAGGAATGGATGATCAAAGTGCACGCGATGACCGTTTTGCGCTGAACCCATGCCCTTTTCCCTGTTTGCTTCACACTTAACCCAAGCTTTTGCGAGGAGGTTCTTGTCTAGTAGTAGATTGGGGCTCTGCAGATATTTTTTAAACGCGCATGTGTGTCATGATGGTGCTGCTCTTAAGATGCCAGTCGCAAAGTAGCAATGAATGCGTTTCCAACCGCGGCCTGCCTCTTGTGTTTGCATCGTTCCGCGACCTGGAAGGGAAGGATGAGGCTCTGAGGTGATGAGTCAACGCACTTAGACGCAACTCGGCAACTCGACATGCAGGCAAAAGCAGGCAAAGCAGTGATCGACCGGCGTCCAGGGTTTGGGGTGTGGGGTGAGAACATGTTGTTCACAATCTGGTCGCTGGCGCTTCAAGCGAAGCTCATGGTTCTCGCGGCGCTCTGGTCAGCTCTTGGCAAGCGTGGCGTCTGACAGTTGTAGATGTGTCTTTATGTTTCTTTTTGAGCAGCGCGGTTATGGCTAATGAACTGGTGCAGGAAATCATTGTGTGGGCTGGCCCTCCAGCACTTTTCAGATCTCACAAAGGCAGGGGGGCTTGAGTTGCAGCACTTGGTTGGTTTGATTCTCTTTCACAAGACCACACAACCTTGTAAACGTATTCTGTCATGTGGTTTATATATTGGGTCACTCGCTGTTCTGGATGTTGCGGCCAGGCCTTTCATACAGGGGATGCAGCAGCTGATGGGCAACTGTGTTTCACACTCTTGCCAGCTTGCAGTTAGTTAGACTACTCTTTTCTATAAGCCTTTGCAAAACGCAAAAGTAAAGGTATTTATAACATGCCGAGCTTGTTCCATTCCTATTCTCAGAGCCACACAGTTTTTTCAGTCAACTGCCTTCCTCGCATGTTTACATTGTCACGCTCAAATTTCCGCCCCACATTCATGAGCAGTGCTTCCTGTATGTTCAATCAAAGAAGAAGAGCTGTTCTGAATTCCTGTCCCAGAAGGTTGGACACTTTCAGAGCATGTAAAAAAGCTGGCCACTGTGCAAATCTAACAATGTGGGAACAAGCAAAACAATCAGATTCGCAATCGCCTGCCCAAAATGTCAGATGTTGTTGGATTCTGTTTGCTTTGTGCCTCACGCAGTTGCATGCCTTCTGGCGGTTTCCTATGCCTGCTGAGTGGGTCAAGCTGTGTGGATTGATTTGTCACTGTCTGTTTGTGTCTTGCAAGCATGGCGGACACTCGTGGACCACCGACCTCTTATGGAGCAAAGCCACCTACCTCTTCTGGAGCAGAGCCCTCGGATGGACCGGCGGCCTCTCATGGCCCACAGCCCTCTGGAGGGCCGCAGCCCTCTCCAGGACCGCAGCCCTCTCATGCACAGGTGGTTCTTCGGGCACCGCCTGGATCCATGATCTATTGTTTGCAGCAATGTGAAGCAGTTCTGTGGCTCGCTATTAGGGAAAATCATAATGCCCAATGCATGTTCCAGGATTCTGGGACTGCTTAATTTTTTTGTGTGCATTTGTGTTCTTAAATGTTCTGCAAGTAGGCCCCAGCTCAAGTTTAATTACCATGTCATCTTGCCAAGGACATCGTTGAGGATGAGCTCATTCTCGCACGAGTTCTTGATGAACTGCGAGCTGGTCAGCAGAATCTTGTTTTCGAATATAGTTCAACTGTTTGGTATTTGAAGTAGTAATTATTTGGTTTGATGGGTTATCCCTAGGACCCTGCGAGAGACCTATGGCTATGTGATCCATGTGATGGAGCTCCTGGGCGTTGCGCCCTTGAATTTGAGGTGTGATTAGCAGCACGCTTTAGCGTGCTGCTAGCATCGCTTTCACTTTTTCCGATGCCATAGGCATGCTTGGACAACGAATTTGGTTGCGTGAGTCAAAAAAGCTGGGTTGACTCCTTGGTCCTTGGTGCTCTGTCACTTGACTTGCTGTTGCGCTTTTGTTTGGTTCTTCTTGTGGCCTGGGCCCGGGTGTTTGTAAGGTTTGGTGACCTCAGACTTTATCATTCATTGAGTTGGAACTTGGTTGTGAGTTTGGGCGCATGTTCCTTGGAATCTCAAAATAGGCATCTCCCTTGCATTAGCTGTCAAGTCCTATGCATCACTGAACTGGTACTTACCTGTCTATATGCAAGCATGGCAGTTGCCTCCTGGAAGGCTGTCTCCACTTGATATATAAGGATCACAACACATATTGAGATCCTTGTATTTCTGACAGCGGATCACAACTAACGATTGCCACTATCCTGCAGACCACAGATTTGCTTTGCGAGCTAGCAACCAGAAATGGTTCTCCAAAGAAGGGACCCTCAACCCATGGGTGATCTCTTTTAACATTGTTCAACCTTTTTGACTTTTGATGTATGAGCTTATGTGGCCCTTTGGTTCGGCCCTTTGGGAGCAACAGTTCCTACACAGTCTGAGTTGCTTTGATTTCTGGATGTTGCCAACTTCAGTTCAGTTCATACTCAGTGATTCCTGGATCTTGCCAATTTCAGTTCAGTTTATATTCAGGACGTCTCTGTATAAGCTCTGCTAATCTGGAAAAAGGTGTGCGCTTGTGTGTATGTGTGATGCCTAGGGACTGGTTAGACTGGTGCATTTTTTTGAATGTCTACGTAGCAAGAACGTGCTTTTGGCAAAGCACCCAAAGGGCCAAACCAAAGGGCCACATAAGCGTGTCTTGAGTTTTTGCTGGTGCCCCTGCAGAATTAGACAGTCGTTTGATCAAACAACACCGGTCGACCTCCATCGAGCGAGCGATCACTACTGCGCGATCGGTGTGGTCTGCAGCCCTGCCACGGCCTTTAGCAGTATCCCTCCGGGTGAGAGCAATTTTCAACTGAAAAAAGGGTGTCCAAGGGAGATCCATAAGTAGACTATACTTATGTAGGGTACTGTAGTCCATTGGGCGACCCCAAGCGGCTTGTGCTGGTGTTCAATTAATGTCATGTCGCTCAGCTCAGGAGCGACACCACAGTCGATCCCTTCTTCTTCTACTTGAAGGACATGAAACAAACAGTCGTTGTGTCTCCGTTGGATGTTGTTTGTTTGGATCTGTGGAGGTGGGATCTGAAAACCTACTGTGTTTGTTTGTTTTGTTTCGGTCTGTGCAGTAAGTTTGCTTGCTTAAGGGATCAGAGTGTGATCAAAGACATCCAGAACATTCCAGTATCATGAAGGTGATCCCTCTAGAATCTAGAATTTCCTCAATGATCCGTGCTGACTGATTTAGGGTATGTCTGCAGTTTGGAGAAAAAGAAGGGTGTTAAGTTATATACATATATATATATATCATGTATGGAGTCCGGCCAAAAGTCTATAAGCAAAAAAATAGATAAAGGGGTCGAAAGTAGCTTATGATGTTGTTTTTGTTGATTGATTATGTAGCGGGCCCCCAGCTAAACACAACTATTCTGCAGCTGGGCGCTAGGTTTGCGGTAGACTTGCGCTAGTGCCGCTAGTATTTGCCTCAGGGCATGTTCAGAACCTCGTCAGGTATTTGAAAAGTGGCTGGCTGAAAAATGCGCTAGCCGCGCGCTAGGACTGCGCTATATCCGCGCTAGCAAACATTGCCAGATTCCAGCGTTGACCCTTCCAAGGCTGAGTTGCAACATGTCTTTTGTTTCAAGCACGGCTTGAAGCTCGGAGATCAGCTGAAAACGCTGCAGCGCTAGTGACGCCTCTTACAATTTGGCGCCAATACTTGTTTGGTCTATGTTTCCTTCATTAACCAGCTGTGTGTGTGTGCCAAAAGTAAAGAATATGTAGCGGGCCCCCATGTGAACACGACTTTCAACCATTTTTGGAAGAAGACATTTCGACCAGATCCTATATATATATATTATACCAAGGCCCCCCGTTTGGGGTGTCGAATCAGAGGTGAAGAAGAGGCCGCACGGACCGGTGATGATTTCCGATTCACCGAAGCATCCGACCGCGGACGGGGTCTTTGGACGGGGTCGGACTCACAGGGCTTGGAAGAGGACCTGCCAGGCGAACGCCATGGTCCCATGGAAGCGATTTTTTGTCCCACTTGCAGTGCAGGGTATACCTGGACCCGGTTAGGACCTTCTGTCGCAACTCCTGAGTTCGACGGGGCAAAACGAGGCACCAGTAATGTAGACTCTTCATTAATAAACTCCCCATATGAAGAGGATGTTCCGTTTCAATTGGGTGTTTTATTAATGAAGAGTCTACATTTACTTGCCGGAGACCCCAAGTCTTTTCTGAAGATCTCAGTACTTTCAGAGGTCGACTCCCAGGTGCGTTCATTGGTCGACTCAACTGTCCCCGACTCGCTTTCAGAATCCATGTGTTTTCTGTGGACCAAGCAAAACCAAGCTCCAGCCCGCAGCTTGAACAGGACTCAAGCGATACCAAGCTCCAGACCTTTTTCGGGTCGTTGACCCCCTTTTCTGGTCGTTTGCCGGCCGAGCGATGTTTCAAAAACTCTCCAGGAGTTCTTGGGCGATGGCATTTTCATCGCGCCCCAGCGCGGGTCTGGAGAGGAGGTGTTTGTTCGGTGCAGATGCATGATCGAATACTTCTGTCGGCATTCCAGGTGAGCACGATCAGATGGTCTACAGTTGCAGGGTTTTTGGGATGTTGTTTGGTGGTAGGTATCGGTAATGTTTACCTATATAACAGTATACATGTAGCACTTGAGATTCTTTACAGAAGAAGGGCTAGACATACATGCGCTGAGCGTAGTGACGTTGGGAGTTGCCTAAGACCAAGGAGGGCTGATGGTGACAACTCCTGTGTGCATGTTGCAGGCAACTACAACTTTCTATTGTAAGTGATAAGTCGAAACCCAGATGTTCCATGTATGCCACCATAAACAACATTTGAATAGATTTGCCTAAGTATGTGCAATACATTGGGGTAGTTTAGGGGGGGTCAATGTAGGGATATATGTTCCATACATGTTTTTTCCTTGGCGCTCAAGCGGTGGCTGTGTGCAAAAATGCGAATTCAGAGACATACGCAATATGACATTGGTGGCGCCTCAGTGCATACAAATCAACTTCATCAGCATAAGTCATAGCTTACCCAGACCGTTTCCTTAGTAGAATCAGGTCCGATAAAAAAACGAGAGAACAGACAGTCGAGAGGCCCCCCAAAGGAAATCCATGCCCAGACACTCCATGTATGGAATAGTTTTATATAGTATATAGGACTTAGTATACATACATTTACCATCATTTACCTCCATGTATTTATATGTATGACTAATGTATTTAACTGTTTCATACATGGAGTGTTTGGGATTGGTGCAAACAGCCCGAACACATAGGCAGTCGATTGGTCCTTGAGCTTGCAGCAGCTTGGTTCCTCAAATAAAACACTCTTGGGGGGGGTGGCAAGGGTGTCAAGAGTCCAACCCAGGAAACAGAAGGACAAAAAGCGGGGATCGATGACCCTGAAACTTGTTGGGGATTGGTTTTCCTGCTGAAAACGAACAGGTGCCAAAAAGGTCCATCTGTCTTTTTCCAGGGGTTCAACGGCTGTACTCACCAGGGTGAGTACAGTAGTCATCGACTACACCACACACACTGTTTTTACAATGACTTCCACTTATGTTTCTTGGTCGAACTCCTGAAAAAAGTATCAAAATAATACAGATATCAAGATATCCTGGTCCTACACGAGAAGTATGAAACTGGCCAGACACTTTCCCATCGGATTTTCCCAGGTGAAGCATGGAGTCGGGGCTGAGGACAGCGGCAAGGACTGGAACCAAATGCGTCAGCTGGCTGCCCAGAGATGAGGGCAGGTTGTAAGAGAAGATGCTTGGGGCTCACAAATGGCCTGTATTTCAGGAGGTGATGGCAACGAATCCAACCAATGGATAGGCTGGTTGGTTTCCCTTCTTCCAGGGGGAGGTCTCCGTATTTGCATACACACCCAAAAATGACCTGGGATTCATGGGATGCACCCTGGGCCCCTCCATTCCTTCCTTCACCAAATGATACACATCATCATTACAGCTTCTGAGAGTACGAAGTCGGGTGCATTGAAGAGTGGTGATATGGACCCTCAACGACCGGTCCACCTGGTGTTCCCTGGCGACCAGGTTCACCGATCATCGGGGCGCCGGACGACTACCCACTACTTGTGGATCTCCATTGGGCACCCGGTAGATGGTCCAGGTTAGCTTGTCTTCATGGGCCTTCCTCACTGTGGTTGTATGCCAGGTGGTACATCCCCGCTGGAAGGGTCTCCCAAACAAGAAGCTTTTCTTTATCAAGATTGGTGGCCAGGAAGAGGTGTCTATACCATGGACATGCTTGATTCCGATGTTTCACTCATCCTTCTTTTTCCTTCTTCTCTCTCGCCACTGAGGCAAGGTGTCCTCGCAAATCTTTTCGAGAAAGAACTTCAACACCAAGATGCAAGAGGCGCGCCGCGCGGCGCGGCCCGTTGTTCACCACTGGCACTTCGTTGGGCACGTCCGGCGCCTTGGGACGTGTTTTTGTTCCCTTCTCAGGGAACGAGAGCGTCGACCTCCGTGGTCCGACCGTTTTGTATCACAACCAGGGCGAAGTTCTTAGCACAATGGATGATGATGATGATGATGATGATGATGATGATGATGAT